GAAGTCAGCCACCTTTCCTGCCTTTGTGCTTTCGGGGAATTACCGTTAAACATGGTGTCCTCCTCTGATGATCTCTGTCACATGACGGACGAAGGTCAAACAAGGATTCCGCTGGGCCGTGGGGAGGTGCGCCGAGGACCTATTTGTACAAATCAACAAAAACTATACAGCTTCTGGTGAGACCAACTTACGGATCCCTTCCACCTGCCTCTTCGAACGAAATGAAAAGTACTCCAACAGCGGTTAAAAAACTGTTTTTATAAATTTGGGCAAATTTATGCCTATGAAGGTATAGCATGTGTCCTTTACATATGAATAAATAATGAAATCATTAGAGCAATTACTTTCTTACCACATTTTTCTCTGATTTCGCAGGCCGTTTTTTAGATTTTTGCATATTTATCTCGAATGGTTTCTCTATAAGAAAATATAAATGTTTTACGTTTCTTTGTGGGTTTTTTAAATAAAAATGGTTCGCAATTAAACCATATAGCAAATTTTCAAAAGGCAAAACTGTTCATATAGGCATTAAAGCCTTCTTTCGTGATTCTATAAAAACATTTTGACTTGACTTTCATTTCAAGTGGAAGTATAATATGAAGAGATTTCCAGGGTATTTTCACCAGCAGACGATAAACGGTCTTCTTTAGTTTCCTTAGTTGTTTTACTGACACGTTCAGTTTGTCACGGGCCTCGAGGTCCTCCCCTTCGTTTAATGTGGAAAAGTACTAGACTAATATCTGTCATGTACCTTGCTTATTTTCTTATGATATTTACGCTAGTGTGCATACTCTACTATATTTGAGTAGTTTTATGAGTATATGTAACAAGGAAAGACTCGCCGGTCAGCTGTATTGGCATATTTTAAGCCAACGTGAGCTCATATTGCCCATCGTATGCCAAATCAAATCTCAGCACATAGTTACCGTAGCCGACTCGTATATAGAAGACTTTGTCAATCAGGATGTCTCAATAAAAGCAGCATATCTTTCTCGCATACTTTAAATGAGGTCAACACCATTATGCAAAGAGATTCCTGGAAAACTAGCTACTCTACATATATTCACTCTATCGCAAGAGGTAAGCTAAACAAAGAACTTATTGGGCGAGTAATCGTGTAAATTTCATTAGTAGAATGTGATTCGGAAGTAGCATCAGATAAACTGGACATGTGTAAATAATTAGGATGCTGTACTTTTGCTTTGAAGTCCTGGACATCGAGCTATTTAGCATAGATATTTCGATTAGTTTCCTATTAAATTTTCCCTCTCTTCTCACATTAACAACGTTCCTGATCGTTGAAATCTTAATATTTTTTAAGTTAAATCTAGTTAAGTTATTTCTAATGTTGAAATAAAATCTGCTCTACAGGCCTAAGTTTCCAATATCAGTATATGACACTTAGAATATTTTATTTTAAATGCTTCAGTTGTATGAAAATCTCTTGTTTTTATTAAAAAAACTCAATTAGTTATAGGGATTACTTTGAATAATAAATTATAATTTTTGAATTTTTTCATAATGCAGTGTAAACTGTATTCAGTAGCTTTTTAAGGTCGTATCAACGATTCTCAAGTTCACAATTTTTCTGTATGCTTGCCAAATTTAGTCCATATACCATCACTAAACATAGTTCCATACTATAGTTTAAGCTTAGCTATGCCAAACAAGAATAACTGTATACAATAAAATTGAGGCAATGCTCAGTTTAACTTTAGTGAAATCCGAATCTTTATGAGGTGTGGTTAGGGCTAAGCCTAGAATTGTGCCTATCATAAACCAGAATCTTCATCGTATGATAAGGAAAAATGGCAAAATAAACGTATAAGTTAATACACAATTTGGTTTTCATCTATTACTTTTTTTCTCAAGAGTACGGCTCACTGGCTTCCTGCGCAGCAGCATCTTCAGGTGAGCAGTAACCTCATTCATCCGGTTGTTCTCCACGCAGCTGCGCGACGTCGATGACATTTCGGCAGAAGGATAGCTAATAATACCAAACTCTGATGGATGAGGTTCTTTTCTACTGCTTTGCTTCAGTTCTTTTTTGTCTGACACTGGACCAATTTCAGGAAGCAAAAATTGATAAGCATCCTCTTGCCACGATGTCAGCGTTTCACCTTGTTCATGGGAGGCACGAGTGGAAAAAGTTCCATCAGTTTCGGTGGATATTGAGCTCGTTGATTTCAGGAAAACGTCATGTCTTGAAAGGCATTCCAAACTGTCTGTTTGTGATGCTGGGTCAAAATCTACTAGGTCAAGCGAAATTGGGCTGGTGACCAATAAATTTTTGGGACTGGAAGTGCTGGCACGAATACCGCTTTGTCTGGCTTTATGCGGTCTTTCCGAATCCCTTGCATTGACTTCTCTGCCTACTGTAGATCTCTGACGAGGGATGTTTGAGGTTCCGATAAATTGAGTTGTTATACGAGGAATTGAGAGTCCGTGAGTAGAGAGGCGTGGCTTTGTCTGAGGCTTTTGGGTCTCAATCATTTGGTGCAGACTAGCAAACCGATGTTTTGATGGCCGCTCAGATGAAATTGGCACCGGCTCTAGCGAATTGACAAATTTCAGCCAGTTCCGATAAACTAGGCTGATGCAATATGAAGTAAAATGGAGAGTTTAAATGCATCCTATTATGAACAATTAATCAAGCTAGCCCCGATGAGCCCAAACAAACATGACCAAGGCGGCAAATTAAAAGAAAAATGTATCTATTGGTTTGAAAAGCATACACCTCTTACTGATCAACGTTAAAAATATTAAAAAGAAGAAATTTTATTGTTTATTCAGTTTTTTCACGCTATTTTAAAGTGATAGAAGCAAAAAATAGTGCATG